AAAAAAAAAAAATCACAAATCAAGACTCTAGCAGAGCTAAAACCAAATTTTGGACAAAAAGACTTCCCTTGATGGCGATAACTCAGATTGTGTTCAGACAGGCCTGTACAGGGTATTATGCCTACAGAATTCTGCATGGACAGAACTAAAAAGTGCTCTCTGTCTCGATTTTGTCACACTGCTCCTGGAAATTGTGGATTCTGTCCTTCCTTGAAAATGTGAGAGCTTTACCCATGGCTGCTGCAAAGCTATTTCCAGTGAGAGCTCCCAGGCTACACTCCAAATCACAAAGAGGCTAAGAGAACAAAAATCCAGAATAAAAAAAAGTTGCAGTCACCTTGGAAACCAGACAAAGGCTGGAGGATTCTCCCTCTTGGAAGATTTTAGCTACTACATCAACTGAATGTTTCAAGTCTGTTCAACACAAATTGCTTTCCAGGCCAACTACCCTAAAATGAGAAAGCTTGCTCTTTGGGAAGATGTGTGACTATGCAGACACACGCACAGATGCACACCCACTCCTACATTTTTGTGATTTCAATGACTTCTTTTATCTCTGTTATACTATGATGTTTTCAAAATTTGTTATGGAAAGATTCAAAACTCTGCCCATTATTCAGATATTAGTGTCACTTAAGTCAGAGCAGAAAGATCCAAAATTTGCCTTTGTTATTGTCGCCTTCCCTGTGAAGACTATTATGTGAAAACATCCAGTATTCAGTTTAACATCAACCAATCTTTATTTCAACTTTAAGAAATACAATAATCTGAACAAGCTTTCAGAAAGTGTATTTTTACTCTTCGCTACTTGCTATATATCTGTGGTTGCCTAATTCTTTCATAAAATGCATATCTGACAGCACATCCAATAATACATTAAAATGCCATTTTATGGTGACATCTATGAATGACTCCATATATTATGCAACACTCTATCCCTGTACGTACCCCGAAAGCAAAATCAAATATTTAGCAACACCAAATGTTGTTCCCTATTTCTCATAATAGATCTTATGGCCTGAATGCAACAGAAGCTACACGATTGTGTTAATATTTTATGTATCATGCTATTTTAATTACATTTTAACACATAAACCTTAAGTCAGGCAGAGAAAGGATGGAGGGATTTTTTATTACTACTGCTACTGGGTCAGTGAGAGCTGAATCAATAGAAACTTCCATGTTGGCAATTAGCAATCAAGATAGCCACGAACCAGAGGCAAGCTGCTATGTAACATTACTCATTCCAGCTTTTTTTTAAGTAAGGTTGCACACGTGAGAAAGCTGAGGCTCAAGAGTGATTAAGATGTGCTGTAGCTACAATAAAGGGGTCCCACAGAGGATACAAGTAAATGCAATCTCTGTCTACTCAAGTGGGGCTGGTAGTCAGATCTGATTCATCTCAGATACAGACCAACGGTAACGTCAATCCTATTCCCACTCTCATATGTAAAAAGGAAAAGCAACAAACAGGCAGCTATGGAATTAACTGACCTCCTGGTGATTGTTCTGGTTAAATAAAAAATCCTAAAGCTCTGATGTAGAGTAAGCAAAGTGTGCTAAGGCACAAGCTGATAAGATTAAAACCTCTGGCAGGGACAGGACCAATACTCTGCAGAGCTGAGGCTGAGTCCTAATAAGTAAAAATAGTTTAAGATAAGCGACCAGTGCCCTGAGGTACCACTACCTGGATCTTTGTTTGCCCAAAACAACTACCATTTCTGCAAGTAAATAAATGCATCAGTTCAAGACCCACCAGACACTGCACAGTAGGCATGGAGAATGATCAGACCGGCACTGAATATCTTACAAGATCCAGAAAGGGCTGTTAAGAGCTGACTGGTCAAAAAGTGAAGCTGCTGTTGCCTACACTGAGTCTTCATAATAAAATAAGGTCCGTGTTAAGCATACTTCTACAAAAGCACTAGAAGTCCTGAATACATATGGCAGTTTGCAGGAACAAAGCAGAACACAAGAATAATATCTACATGACCGAAAAGCCTCCTACCAGAGCTAGTACACTGGCACAAAGCACAGAAGACGAACCCTCTTCTCAATAATGCCAGTTTTTCTGGTGATGAAAATCTTCAAAGTAATTCATTTCTGCACCAATAAATAAGAATCTAAAATTAACAGCTGCCGCTAAACAAAATCTCCAAAAGAGAAGAGGGGGTATTGAGGGCTGCACAAGTCCTCTGTGTAATAGGATATTCTCCTAGAAGAAAAGAACTCTATACTATTTAAAAGTGCTTTATGCTTTCATAACCTTAAAAGAAAAGAAAAAAAAAGCCTTAATTTACTGCAGCCTCCACATCCTTTAGAATAAAATCATAAGTCGGGAAACTTCAACTATCTTTCAATGCCTATAAACTTCTTGGTGCTAGGAACTGACTTTGATGTTTAATCCCATTAATGAAAAATAGGACAAACACCTATTTAGGCCATTTTCTTCCAATTCAGTTAGCATTCTGTGAAACATTTCTACTTCTTCATCACTAAAGAAATGCTGTATTGTGTATGCAGTTCATTTAGAATTAAGTATCTAAGCCTAGCATTTGTGAGGATTTTGGCATTACATATAGAAAATACTCCCTCTCCCCTCAAAATACTGCCCCACCAGACGTCAAAAAAAAAGGAGAAACTTTCATATTCTGACTCTTCCTTCCAAAAAGACAAATCCAGTGTACTGGAGTAGCCAAAGCAACAGCTTCTTCTTCTGCTTTATCAAGGTCCTGGGTCTCAAAAGGCCTGAATGGCTGCTACCAGCAACTTTATTCCCAAATGCACTCTGAAATACTGTACTTCCACTTCTGTTTTGTGGATCCTCACACTCTTGCCTTTGGAAAGTCCATTTTGGGTGGCTTCAATGCACCAAATCACTAATTTATATTGTGGTTAAGTTTCTGTTTGTTTAAATAAAGAAGCCTCAACCGGCTTGGTGGCTTTTCCCCCACCATGTGGTCTGGTGGCTATTTTCTCAATATGTTTCCTAAATGAGCCCTCTGTTGCTGAAGAGATTTAATAACAGAACTTCAGCTATCTCTGGGCCAAGCGCTCGTGTCTCTGAAGTTCACAAAATCAAGTTGCAGTTATTTACATCTTTAAAAGCAATACATAGAGCAACACCTGTGCATCCCATGCTAACAGGAAGGAAGGAGTATTTGCATAACACACAAAGAAACACTCGTGTAGCAGAGGAGCAAGCACCAGACTATCACACTGCACTGCAAGGAAGATCAAGCAAGTAGAGAACAGTTTCATGTGAAATAAAATATATGATTCCTTTTATTTAAAAGTGGTCCCCTAAATTCAGTGCGCTGGAAATGGTGAAAACACACAGATTTTATGATCCTGCTGGTAACAGCAAATAGTTGATAAAGTTAGGAACTCAATACAAATTACAGATAACCAATATGAAAGGTGATAGTGGAGAACTGAACTGCTTCCCCATGAAACTGACCCTTTGTGAGTATTCACAAAGCAAAGTGAGAAGCCTTTTACAACAGGTTTTTGCAGAGCAGCTGAAATTAAAATGAATAAGTTAAGAAACAGAGTCTCTTCCTCTACAAGTTGTGAATCAACAAAAAGTGTCTGCTGGGTTTTGGGTAAAACGTCATTTTGATGACACTAAAACTCAAGCTGTGTTTTCAGGGCGGGAGGGTGGCACAAGTGATTTTCAGACTTACCTTTTCTGATTCATAAGCAGCTCTCTATGGAGATCTTGGTGATTCCGGGATGACTTCACAGGATTAATTAATTTCTGAGGTCTAATTAACTCAGGATTGTCATCATCTATGTAGTCTGGTTCAGCCATAATCTTTCTTGGAATGGGATATGGATCTTTGGGTTCAGTGTCCTTATTCACAGTATCTGTAAAAGAAGGGAAACACTGCAGTAAATTTTGTCTGTAGTAAGTAAAGCAATCTCTGGCAATTCCGCCTCCGTTCGCTGTTGCTGAAATTTGCATGCAGAATCTGGCACGCTGCAACTATCAATTTGATAACACACCAGCCCCTCAAAAAGACCCACAAAAAATAATCTCACAGCACATGGGTTTACAGAGGTGAAGCAATGGGACATGAAAGGAAAGGCGAGGGACCTCCATTAGCCTGACAGGCAAAACAGCTGAGTGCTGCACACTGTGTAGTACAGAGCTATGTGACACATCAGAGAAACACTGGGATTTGCTGCGTATTTTCCAGTAGAAGCTGAATATGCGCTTTGAGATGCCACTGTTACCAGCCCTTCCTCTCTCACTCTACATGCTGTAAAACCTGTCTACGTTCACTTTCAATTTAATCCCCAAACTATTTTGTTTCATTAGGGATCTTATATTGTTGCTCACTGTGTGTGATTCAAAATCCAGTTGACATAGTGGAATTTCCAGTAGAAGCTGAATATGCGCTTTAATTGAGATGCCACTGTTACCAGCCCTTCCTCTCTCACTCTACAGGCTGTAAAACCTGTCTATGTTCACTTTCAATTTAATCCCCGAACTATTTTGTTTCATTAGGGATCTTATTGTTGCTCACAGTGTGTGATTCAAAATCCAGTTGATATAGTGGAAAGAATTCCACTAACACTTCAGAACGTGAATGCTGAACAGTGTCACCATCCCCCTGCTTGGGCCACATGTGCACTTACAGATGATGAAGCAAAACGACAGGACCAAGTTTTCAGCAGATGCTGGATTTGAATGTGTCCAGTGAATCCAGCATAGCTCTTTTGGTTTCTTTGTTTGAACGGATGATGTGAACTGTGTTCTATTGGTGCTACTTCTCACACACCAAGTTTCTGCAGAGCAAACCCGATGAGAAATGGCTTACCAGTGTGAGCCGCTCGCAGGGTGGCCCCTTGTTTTTCAAGGCAAGTTTATACGTAGCGTTTTTGAACTCTGGGGGGGTGCTAGTTCTCACAGGGACCTCTGAAACTATTATAGAAATTGCACACAGTTCAAAACTATGTAAGTCTATTGCTGTACATGACATAAACCTCTTACTGATATTGATCATGTAATAGAAATACTTCTCCCATCACCCGTCCAGAGTACTTCTTGCTTCAGTCCATGTAATAGAAATACTTCTCCCATCACCCCTCCAGAGTCCTTCTTGCTTCAGTCAAGCAACCACCTATCACCACATGTGCCAAGTATACAGAATCATTGGAAAACTGAGGTCAGAAGAAACTTGGAATATTTCTCATCCAACCTCCTGCTGAGAGCAGGAACAACTCTGAGATCAGACCAGGTTGCTCAGGGCTTTACCCAGTAAGGTCTTGAAGTCCTCGAAGGCTGCACAGCCTTTGTGGGCAACCCTGCTTGCCTGTCTTAATGGTGACGTTTTTCTTTACACCCATACAAACCTCTTGTTTCAATCATGCCCACTGCCTCTCACCCTCCGGCCATGCACCATGGTGAAGAGCCTGGCTCCATCTAAGTTCCTCTCAGGCATGGGGGGTTGCTGGTAGGTCCCTCCCCCAAACCCTGCCTCTGCTCCGGGCTGATCCAGCCCCAGTCCCTCAGCCTCCGCCACAGCACCTGCACCCCCGCCCCCAGCCCATCTCAGTGGCCCTTCACTGAATTCCTATCTCAAATCCCTCCCTGTTTCATTGCATGCATGCCATATAAAAAAAACCCTAAACCCCCCAAAACCCCAAACCACAGCATACTTCTCAATATATACTACACAGCACCATGTCAGTAATAAAAAGTGTGTGGAAATCTATTCTCTTTACCATAGACAACGAATAAACTAGCTACAGTCTTTTTTTTTTTTTTTTTTTAAATAAGAACACAGCAGTTCATACCTCCTCAGCGTTCACGTCTGGCTTATCAGAAGTAAAACAACTCAAGTGTTACATATCGAGCCTCCACCCAGAATAAACCTGCTCTGTAAATATTTGGTTTCCTGCACTCCTCTATCAGTTCCGCTGCACTGATGGGGCTGTGAGTCTTCTAGAAAGCATTTATCATTGACAGCGCTCCGCTAAAGTAAATCCAAAACCAACCTGCGGCTTCTTCAAGACACGTCTTCTGTTTGCTCAGGCGAAGATGAAAAATGCAGAAGTACCCTACAACTATCTGTCATAAAGAATGTACTATTTTTCTAACACGAGCCCCTGAAAAACAATTTGATTTGATCATTTCTCAGAAAGTTTGATGTAATACTTTGCAGCACGTAGATTTGCTTTTGGCAAGCCGTTAAAATGAATTCTATTTATTCTTCTTTCTTCTGTCCCATCTCTATTTTTAAAAACGTGTATTCAACTCAGAGGTCAGGAACCGCGGTTTCCTAATGTAACATGAACTCTACTAGCAGCAAACTTGAATGAATAAAACTCCCTTGGGAACTGAAAACGCTTTCTGTGTGTGATTAAGCTGTAAATCATTTCAGCTAGGAGCTGAACGGAGCCAGTGAAACAGGGCACCCAGTTCCCACTCTGTGAATCCTCTCACACTTTTTGCAAACGTCAGTCTGGCTGGAGGCCATCGACCAGTCCTGCAGAGTCACTGTGTAATATTATACACAAACAATACAGCTAAGACAGTGTGATTTCTACCCACACCCTTTCCAAGCAAACATTTACAAAAGCCCAGGCAAGTTTCACATAAAAAGGAAACTGAGGCACAAAGGATTCACCACGCAACAGCAGAGAGGAACAGAGCTGGCAGTGCACCCCCAGAGCTTCATTTGGAGATCCAGGCTCACACCTATAAACCAGTCAAGCTCCATGACAGATTCCCTTAAAAGTCCTTAAACAAAGTTTAATCAATGTTCAAGCAATAACAATTAAAGAAATATTAATTCCATGAGTCTCTAGTGCTCATCACCACAGAAGTCATAACCCATAAAGGTGCTTTCAGATCATCACCAGGTGCAACAGTGGGACACGAATCATCCAAGCACATTCTGTGATTCTGTGATTCTGTGAATACGCTGCCTTAAGAGCATCCAAGAGGCTCCTTTTAACCATCTGCTGTTACACATTCAATTGAGAATGCACAACCCATTTCTGTGTTTCCCTCTTACCTTGCTCCAAAACAAAGGAAAGAGACTTGGACGTTGGGGATGTTTCAGCTGAGCTTGGCTCAAGTTAAATACACCCACTAATGGAGCAGGTGCCTTGAGCCAGTGCAAACGCACAAGCAGCACAAAAGCATTTACCTACCTTGTCTTGACCTGTCTGAGTAACTCTCACAGACTTTGTCTATGACTTCTTACATACACATGGATTTTCATCGAGAAAGAATAAACCAGGATCCTGCATGGAAGAGGAATTTTCACTCCTCAAGCAGAACTGCAAAGCAATTTCAATATCCCTCCAGACAATGTCACTGTATAAAAATAACTCAAGTATCCTCCCAGACAGAAGTTTAATGTTTTCAGACAAAAAGATTCTCTTAGAGCAATCAAGAACAATGGTACCTCAGTCTTGGAGAGCCAAGGCCAAGTGGTCACATACTTGCAATTTTCTCATTTATTTTCCTTGGAGCGCAAGTAAATTCAGGGAGAACGGAAGAGACCCTTCAAGTTGATCACAGTGAATAGATACAACGGAACCAGGGCATTGCCAGAAGCATGCAAGTTACATGTGGCAGAACATGTCCCATAGACACATTTACTTCCAATGTTAGTTATTTTTTATTCTACCTACAGAGGATTTTTTTCTGCAAGAGTCCCTTAATGGCAGTAACACTGGAAACACAAATGCAAAGAGAGCTACAGCCAGCCACTAGTGTTTTTAACAGATTCAAAGTAGATCTTAACAACCCCGGGTTAAGGATTCAGCAGCTGACAGAGCTTTTGCTACAACAGGTCTCCCATGGCTTCCACAAGAGGGAAGTTCATGCCAAAAAACCCCTTGTGTTTATATGGTATTCAGGGAATTGCATTTATTTTCTATCTGGTATTCCTCATACCAGAAATCACCCTCTACATATGGAATCTGAATACAAAAATTCCTGTGAGACACCATATATTTGTCTTATTATACGTATATATGGCGTTTTCACCCTTCAAATGATTCCCACAATTATTTCCAGCTGTGAAAGCAGAGGTAGAGTTGAGGCCCCCTAAAAAGCAGATAAATAAATGCCTAAAAATACCAATGAACATCAAAATAATAGACTAGTCCAGGATCCAAAAGTTACATTAAGGCTAAATTCACATTATTTCCTTTTTGCCTTAATAAATGCTTGAATTAATATCTTCCACAGAAGCCTTAGCTGAATACCTCCCGAAGATTTCATTCTCAAAAAAGCTTCAACATCTGTTCTGAGCTGTACTGTAAACTATCAAACGCTATTTTTTAAAAACTTACATTTTTAGCCCTTTAAACTACCGTGTAGGCTTGTGGTTTGTTACAAGTAACCCAGAGGCATTCTTTGAGAAGAAATATGGTTTTACTCTCCCTCCTCTGATTTCAAGAGGAATATGAATAAAAATTCCTCAGCACGTCTCCGCTCAGACGTTACACGACCAACACTGCGTTCCATCAGCCAGCTTGGGTGGAAAGCAAAAAAGCTACTTAAACACAGAGAGTGCTTTCCAGACACCATCTCAGCACTGTTTGCACATGAAAGCTCACCACCGCTATAATTTTTATCTATATGCTCTCAGTGCCATAAGAGGCACTTGACTAGAGCGATTTACTTGATTAATCCTTGATTATAGATATCATTAATAACTTCCCACAGCTCACTCTTTAATTCAAAATAAGAGTTCCTGAAAACAGAATACAAAATACTCTTCCCAGCCAAGACGCTCAAGCCAGCCACCATCCAAGGAGTTTGGCTCTTACTGACACTGCCTTTCG